AAGGGAGTATCCCTTCGGCGCTCTGCACGCCTACGCCCCTAGCTCGGAGGTCGTCGCTCTGGGGGAGGGTAGGTCTGCAATGACTTGCTGTTTTCTGGTCGCCTGTAGCCTCTCTCTGTCGAGGTTGTACCATAGGTAGGGTAGATTCGTAATTTTGTTTGGCTGAGGGCTAACTGAGAGACCTACCTGTAGTGAAAATTCATGAAGGACACACCTGCAAATTTGGGAAAATACAGGCCTAACACAAAGTAAATGTCCTACTGCTACCCTAACTGCGAATAGCAGGCCCGGGCTACCCCTAGGACAGACAGACCCCAAGGGCCTATGCTGATAGACGGTCCTATAGCCTATAGCCGGGTAAGGTAGAGGCCGAGAGGCCGAAACTGAATCGGTACCGGTCAGTCAGTCAGTCCGGTCTAGGTCGAGGCTAGGCTAGTTGTAGTCTATAGATAGAATGGGCACATTGGTTCAAGGCTTTTGGCAGTTGGTACCGAGTACATCGCTGCGTGAACCGGAAGTGGTGACGGCTCAGCATGGAAGGAGACGAGCATAGCCAGACCTTTGGAGCGCCGGCCATAGCTGGGACCTGCGCTATACTCTGCCAGCGCGCAGGGGTTGACAAAGCTCTGGGCTATCGAGGTCTGCTGGAGGCGAGAGAATTGGTGCCCTGCTGGACCCTCCTACGGAGTGGGGTTTCAGGGTAGTCGCGCTGCAGCCATAACTGGAGCTTCTTCCTTAGAGGTCATCTTGTCAGGGTTTGGTGGCGCCGCTGCAGACTTCCACCTGGGAAGTCTTCCAACACTTCGTCATCATCAGATATTGTGGCCCTGGTCTTCTTCTTCATCCTCTGAGTGGCGCTTGGCCTCAGAGGCCTGTTTCAGGGTGGTGATTCCCTTTGGAGGTTGTATCAGGGTGGCGCTTGATGTTTCAGGGTCTCACGGGTGTTACAAGTGGCTAATCAGGGTTGGGGAGTGAAGCGCTGCTCATTTCTGAGCAGCGCACTGTAGTACTGAGGTTATCCTGACAATTCGAGACTCTGAGTTTAATAAACAGTGTGTAACTGGGTTTGGACTATCATCGTTTCATTGTTTTCCTGGATGTGATCTGCTTGGCGTTTTCTTATCACTGGTTGTGAGGATTGAGTGGAGTGAATTGCACTTTCAGTGTACCCTGTCATATCGCATGGTCAAGTCTTCCACTGTGTTTATCTCTCCTTGTGCGGTGTGATACTCCTATCCTCTCCCCTTCCTTCTGTGTATGTATGGGAATACCTGGAAGTATATGTGAGTGAGTGTTGGTCTTCAGACAACAAACAACCAGAATCATAACAAGTACATATCAGATGACATACATTCAACACACAACAGGCAACATACATGCAGATACCCCCCCAACCCCAGCACCCCCGACCCAGACCAACCCATCCCCCCCTTCCCCCACCAGCCCCCCAAAACCAAAATTTCATTGCAGATTTGCGGTCCTCTCGCCGAGCGCAGACCGACCCCGGTTGGCCCCCTGCTGCAGCAAGACAATGCACCAACACTCTGCGATCTTCTCCTTTGCACAACCACAAACACTGTTACACTCGACTGTAGCCGCCATCGTCTCTGTCACAATCACTACAATGACATGGTTTCTGCATCCATGTGTGCAGAGGACTGTCCCACCGTTCCTGACTGCGGGCACCCTCCGCATCCGGACACTATATGTCCATTTTGCGGCCGTGGGCGCTATACTGAATGCATGCTCTTTTGTGGTGACCGTTCTTCTTTCATTTTGGCCTGCAATCGACATGCCATTTGTTGGGGGTGTATGGCGGGCATGCTCAATGCCACCCGTCGTGGCAGTTGTTGCACTGAGAATGCTCAGCTAGGTCTTCCATGTGTTCATCCACGTCATCCTTACAATGTATGTCCTCTCTGTCGTCAAGGGCAGACTCCTCCGTGAACCTTTTCTTATGCTCTTTTGCTTTCATCTTCACTCCACACTCCATACTTTCCCTTACTTTCCCTTTATCATTCTTTGTTTGTCTGCTCACCATCTCTCCTCCCTGTGTTTATCCCCTCCCCCTTCACTCTGCCTCTTTCTCACAGCGTACAAGTGGGTTGTTATGGCACACGGGGATGGGGGCAGCTCGCGCTCAACTTCATCAAAGTGGCGAGCCTTGTACGTGAGAGGCACGGTGAAAGGGGAGTCAAAAGAAGAATGAGTAAAATGAATGGTTTCACTCTGCCCTTCATGTTTGTCTGTTTTTTATTTTTATTTTTATTTTTATTTTTTATCTTTGCCGTTTGTTTTGCAAATTGTGCTCTTTTAGTTCATAGTTATGTGACAATATTATTGTCAATATATGTATATGCAATCAGACTCGACTTATTCACACTTTGCATGCACGTGAACAGCAGAACAACAACTGGTGAGATGCGCCCACGCAGAACTCGGAGATATGGCTTCCAAGTAATAGTTCGCTTCCACGGGCTATGGCGACTGTGCGCGTCACACAACTCACTGTTCACACTCTGGATCACCCTGGATGTCCCACATGCGATACTCAGTACACACACACAGTACACACACTCTTCCCCTAAGCTACAGCTATGGCGGCTATGGCCGCCGCTACCCTACTGCTATGGCTACAGTATGTCACTCCCGCCCACTTCGTCTTCGGGCCTTCTGCAGACCTCCTCGCACAAGCTGCTAAGGCAGCGCTTCCGCATGGCTCCCGCAGGAATGAATAATGGCTGGACGCAGCCTCTTGATTTATACTTTTGCGCTGCGTTGGTCTGCCCTGTGTCCCTTGGCCCCTGGTGCACACAGTCCCAGACGGTACTTGCTGGAAGGACCGGACTGCCTAACTGGGACTGTTGACTCAGCGAGCTGGCCTACCACCACTTGACCACTTGCCTCTGTGCAATGCAGGCTCACTCCGAAAGGCCACTTCTAGAAACCTCTAACTTGGCCTTTCGGTACTGTAGCAGCTACRACTTTGCCCCTTCAGGTAAGTAGCAGCTACGACVTTGACCCTTCAGACATCCTACAGCTACGACTTCGGAACTGTCTAGACTCCTACCCTACAGGTCTMMAGTTCAATTCCCTTCTACCCTGTGACCTACGAAAACCTACCTACCACTGGCGGTYCTACAGGTCGCAGGTTCAAATCTACGGTTTAACACTGGTACTGTACACAGGTAAGACGGGGAACTAGGGATCGAGCCCTGGGATCTGCATTCGCTACTGCGAACTGGTGAATACCGTTTCACTCCCGCCGGCCTAAATTCGACGTCCTCCGAGAAAATTTCAGTCCAAGGCAGGACCTTTACTTCGTTGTTGTCTCTCGTAGGCCCGGACTATATCGGGAGCTGTCTCTAGAAGTTCAGATCTTGTAAACCAGCGGTCGTCTTCCGGTTCTTGGTAGCTAAAATGAACCTTGTACTGCGGACGACCCCTACCTCCAGTTCTGAAGACATCTTCAGCCACTATACCATCGATGTCATATCTTCCATCCATATCCGGTGGGATCATKGACCTACGGGATGGAAACCGATCACTTGTCTGACAAGGTAACAACTTCGATGCGTGGAAAACTGGGTACGTGTGGAGGTGTGCTGGAAGTTCTATGGTATAGGACGGTCCATCTTCGCCGCCCTTGACTTCTAGAATGGGCCACTGGCCTCTATATGTGGGCAGTAACTCCTCAGGTGCAAACTCCTTAGAACTGACCCAGACTAAGTCGCCTACTTGAAACTGTGAAGGGCGACGATGTTTGTTCGCTTGCTCTATCATCCTATGCTGGGCCTTCCTGAGGTTCTCTACAACAGCAGCTAGTTCTTTCTCGTGCTGTACAGCAAACTCCCTGGTCCCGGGCGGTAGTCTGTGAATCTGATCCCGGTTGAGTCCCTTAAACGGTCTGCCTGGTCTGAAGGACTTGTGCAGTTCGTTGGGAGTGCGGCAGGTGGATAAATGCACGCTGTTATTATACGCACTAGCTACTTTAGGCAGCATCTCATCCCAGTTAATCTGATCTGGCCTAATGTACATGTGCAGAACTTGTTGTAGGATCTTGTTCATTTGCTCGGTCTGGGCATTAGTCTCTGGATGGCGGCCGGACGACATCAACAACTTAGATCCATATACTCCCATGAGTTCTTGCCAGTTCTGGATAGTAAAGCGACTATGTCTATCGCTAACTATAGACAGTGGGAGTTCATTCTCACTCACCCAACAGTCAAAAAATCTTTGTATGACTAAATCAGTACGGGCCTCTGACGGCAAAGGAACAAAAACGGCGTACTTACTAAAACGGTCAACTATGACCATGACTTGGCTCTTGCCATGCTTGCTCTTGACGTGAGTGTCCATGAAGTCTATGGACACCGAGTCTCCCGGCTCATCCGGAATGGGCAAGGGTCTGAGAAGACCTAACGGGGCACGCGTAGAAGTCTTATTACGCTCGCAGACTTTACAACTGCGAACATACTCTACGCAGTCATTCTTCATCCCTGGCCAGGTATACGCGCGCATTAGGTTGGCTAAAGTCTTTTGCCAACCAAAATGACCCTCTGTGTCGTGGCATTCTCCCAGAATCAGACTATGGATCTCTTCACTACGGGGAATGCACAGGCGGTCAAATACATTAGTCTTCTCAAAGAGCAACCCTTCGGTAGTGCGGTAGTTCGATTCCGTCTCTGGGACCTCTTTGACTTTCTTAAGGAGGTCACTGTAGATAGGGTCCTGCGTGTAGGCTTCTCTAACCTTTTGCTGCAGATCTTTCCCTATATCGAGGTAGTGTACTATTGCCCCAAAGTAATCAGCTCTTCTACTTAGAGCATCCGCGACTACGTTATATTTCCCTTTGACTGGCTTGAGCTCAAAGACGTACTGATCTATCTCTGCGGCCCACTTAGTAAGCTTAGATGTCATCTTGGCCTGCATCTTCAACCATCTTAACGTCTCATGGTCTGAGTAGACTTTGAAGTGCCTCCCAAGCGAGTAGTGCTTCCAGTGTTCTAAGGCTTGCCTGAGAGCGTAGAGTTCCCTCTCATAGGTAGATGTCGCGACCTTCTCTGAAGGCATTCTAGCGGACATGAACTCTATAACCATTGCCATCGTCTTGTTGTAACACGGCACCTATGCCGTACTGGCTAGCGTCCGTAGTGACGACAAAGGGCAGGGACGGATCGACGACCTTAAGGACTGGATACTCTATCAACGCCTGTTTTAACTTCTTCATAGCAGACGTGCAGTCCTTATCCCACTTCCAGATGGTCTCCTTTCTGAGCAATCTGCGAAGGGGCGCAACGATGGTGGAGAAGTTCCTCACGAACTTCCTGTAGTAATTGGCTAGGCCTAAAAACGACCGCAACTTTGTCAACGTACGCGGCGTGGGCCAATCTCTAAGCGCTGCAATCTTACTGTCTTCAGGCTTAACGTCGTCTCCGTCTAAGACGTGGCCTAGGTACAAAACTTGGGTCTTTGCCCAATCGCACTTCTTTGCATTGATCTTGAAGTTAGCTTCTCTCAGCTTCTCCAAGACCTGCCTAAGATGACCCTGATGCTCTTCAAGTGTCTTACTGAATACTAGAATGTTATCTAGGTAAACTACGACGAATCTATCTAACCATGGCCTAAACAAGTCATTCATACATTGCTGAAAAGTTGCTTGCGCATTGGTTAGTCCAAAAGGCATCACTATGAACTCGTAGTGCCCATATCTAGTCCGGAACGCTGTCTTATACTGGTCATCGGGGTGAACCTCTATCTGATGGTATCCGGACTTCAAATCTATCTTAGAGAAATACTTGGCCCCCTGCACTCGATCTAAGAGATCGTCTATCCTTGGCAGTGGCTCAACATTCTTTACTGTAATAGCATTCAGACCCCTATAGTCTATGCACATTCTCAACTTTCCCTCTTTCTTAGGAACAAAAAGAACAGGCGCTCCAAAAGGAAACGAACTGGGCCTAATCCAACCCTTCTCGAGGAGCTCGTCTAATTGCTTGCGAAGCTCCTCCAACTCCCGCGGGGACATCCGATACACAGCGCCCTTAGGAGTTCTACTGCCAGGCTCTATCTCAATACGGTGCTGGATGGGCCGCGGCACTGTTCCTGTCGGCGGCTCTGTTAGGTCCTTGAACTCTTCCAGCAACTTGGCAATTGCAGGGTCCATCGGCTTTTCTTCCGTAGGCTCAGTCACTGGCCTAACATAGGCAACAAAGACCTGTTCCTCTAACTTTTCCTTCTTCACTAATCTGGCGAATGCGGGCGCACTAAGGCAGCAATGTGCCAAGGAATTCTCTACTCCTGACACATGGAACAGGCGGGCGGTCTTAGCCTCGCCTGAAGAGCTAGGGAGCCTACACTCATGCTCCTTCAAATGGAGCGTGGCCCCGACTGCCTCTCCCTAATCCATCCCCAGAACTATATCAAATGGGAGGCTGTCTTCTACGAGGAGAGTCAGGGAGTGGAATACCTTTTCCACTTTCCCATCCTTCTCTAGGCGAAAATACGCCTGGACTCCCTCTACGTACTCCTCTACAACCATAGTACGATTGTCTGCGAGGATACTGACTATAGGGTCTGCTAGCTTTTGGACTTTAAGTCCCAGCTTCAACTTCTGCAGCGCTTTCTTGCTAATATAGCTGCGGGTGGCCCCCGAGTCTACTAGGGCCCCTACTCTACTTCTAAAAATCTATGTATCTACTAATATAAGCTGCCCTTTATTCTCCTTTTTCATCTTGGCCCAGGCTGGCCTTCTCTCCTTCAACTCTTCGGCCACGCCTGTGAGGGAGGTGTCTAGAGAGACTCTAACACAAGTAGTCTCTGGACAGCCATCTGGACACCGACCTGCAACCTCTGCCATAGGCACATGTGGTGTGGGAGTCTCCTGCAGGCTAGCGCTATGTTCCCCACATGGCCTAGTGGTAGGGGCAGTTGCTACCCCTACCGGCGGCTGCCTTTTGGCCCTTGAGGAGCCGTTCGGGTCTCTCGATACTTAGGACAATATTTGATGATATGGCCCGGGTCACCGCAGAAAATGCATTGGCCCCGGTCCAATCGTTGTTGCCATAAAGTCTGGTCCAGACCCAAGGCCCCCCAAGGCCTACCCTGCGGTAGCCCCGGGTGCCATCCTCCTACCCTGTAGGGAGACCTGTTCCTAGGACGGTTTTGCGGGGGACCTTGACCCCTGCCTCCCGCTTGGCGGTTCCCTCCTCTACCGCCAACCCCCTGATCGCCCTGGAAACTACTCCCTGAGGCCCGACCCCCTTGGCCCTGGCCTCGTCCTCCTCTTTGCGGCCTCCTTCCAGCCACGACAGCAGCGTAAGTTCTCCCCTGGCCCACACCGCTGTCCTCCTCTTCTAACCCCCACTCGATCTGCTCGTAGGGGATTTCATCCATACTACCCTCATCTAAGGTTAGGACAAGACTATCCTTAGTCTTCACTGGCCCTGAGATAGTGCGGCCTTTCCATTGCTTACCCTTGTCCAAGTCCTTGTGCCAGAAGGTGGACACAGACACAGACTTGGCTTCGAAAGCCACCACTTCATGACTAAGAGAATCGTACGTAGTGGCAGGGTCTTCGCTCTTTGCGAAGAAATGCCCTCGAAGGGCTTCGGGTATAGCCCGATAAAAGAGGCCGACCAACTGGGTGTCTGTAACCCCGTGGTCAGGGACAACTATCAGTTCGTCCATTGTACTCTTAAGTGCCCTGGCGCTCTTCCACTTACGAGCGTGGATCGTCTGCAGCCTATCTGAGGCTTTAACACAGCGGGCGACGTCAACGAACCTCTCGCGCAACAGCTTCAGAAATTCAGCGAGGGAAGTGAATGAGGAGTACGCAACTGGGTCGTCACTACAGTTGGCAGCACGAACTAGGGACCTTGCAAAGCTGGCAGCCTCACCCCTAAGCGCGTGGATCGCGATCAGAACCTGCTGATCCGGGGAGACCTGTTGCAGATGCACATAGGTCTTCACATTGGCCTCCCAGTTGTCAAAGTTCTCTTCCCGTTTTCCACTGTAGGAATCAGGGAATTTGACTTTGACCGGTTACCGGCGAGGAGGACGTGCTTCCTCCTCCTTGGGAGCTGCCGCYTTGACGCCTTCAATGGCGCCGACACAGAACCGCCCAGTCTTGTCGAGGCCTTGGCCCACCTCAATGCCTATAGCGCCTACCAACTCCCGAGCAAAGTCCTGGAATCCCAACTTTATTGAATGCACAGCTATGTGTTGACTCCTATTAAAGTCATATTGCTCCGCCTGAATTCGTGCGAGACGTGCCACGTTTCGAGCTATGACTCGCATTTGGGCTGGGAGTTCGGTCTGGGCGGCTAGTTGCTCTTCTATCTTTTTTACCTCCTCTAATTCTTCTGCCGCCTCCGCTGCCGCGTCCACTCTCCTCTTCTTCTCCCTCATCACTGCCAACTTCCACTCCATCCTCTTTTCGTCTTCCAACGCCTGCCGCTTCACGACATCTTTTTCTGCTTCCCGGACTCTCATAGTGGCTTCCTGGTCATCCTTGGAGATGTACATCGCCGCCTCTTCTTCTTCGCCCAGGGACAAGTTGGCGACCCACTCGGAGATCCGCTTCTCCATCTCCTCATCCCTACTGCCACTGTACTGCCCCCTTTTCCTCTGCAGTGGCGTTTCATCTTCTTCCTCCTCTTCCACCTCTTTCAACTTCTCTTCTTCTTCTTCCTGTATCCTCTCCTTCTCTCAGGTCATCTCCTCTTCTATCTTCTTCAATTTGGCCGCCTGCTCCTCCTTCAAGGCCTTCTTCTTGGCCTCCTTCTTCTCCTTCCTCTCCTGCAAGATGGCGGCCATCTTCTCCTCCTCCTCCTTCGTGTATGGCCTGGTGGAGGCACCACCCCGGGTATCTACTCCACACGTAAAGGTGTGCCAGAACCCCAGAGGAGAGAGGAGGCGCCAGAGGGTCCCCCATAGGGAGAACCCCACAAGCAACCCATACATCGGATAGTCATGCATCGTGGTGTCAGGTGCACGACAATGTCCCACTCCTCACCACTTAGACCTACCCGGACACACCGACCTACTTACTCTCTAAGATCCACTACTCACAACTACTCTAAGGCTGTCACTACTGAACCAAAAGCTGATCTGGAGGCATTTAAGGAGATCCCCCAAACTCCGCAAGAATTCTTTAACATCGCAGACAGGACGACGTGATCAGCTTGGTTCTTCCTGGTGATTTCAGCCCACAACTCAGCTGTTCCGACCTACTATGCCACACCGAGCAGCCCGTCGGTCCGTACCGATCCTTGGAGGGGTTCGTGTCCCTGGGGTCAGTCGAGTCGTCAGACACAGATCATCAGCCTTACTGGGTCTGATAGGGGAGTGGTTCAACCAGGCCTCAACACTTAAAGACGGCCTTCGTTTCAGCCTGCAGCTCGGAGTTCGGACCCTAAACATGCCCAGGTCTCCAGATGCCAGAGTAGGAATTAGTCCTACTAAGTCCCGTGCAGGTTTGGCAGCAAGGCCCTATCCTTCATCCACAGAGTCCTAACACCTAGGACAGAAGAGACTCAATGCAGAAAGAGTAGACAGACAGACTCAGCAAGTACCGTGGGGTAGGTGCACATCCACAGGGTAAGGGGATAGGCTTAAGGGCTCAGCGAGATATCACCAACTCCAACTTGGTCAAAATCTTGGTCAGCAGCTCCGGTCAACGCCTTGGTCAACGCTGAGTCAACACGGGCAACCCCCAGTCAACGCTTGGTCAACACCCTCGGTCAACCCTCAGTCAACCCTCTGGTCAACCCTTGGTTAACCCTTCACCTCGGCTATGGCTGCCGGCACCTTCACCTTCATCACCCTCGCCGCATGCTGAACCTTCCTTCACTCTTCTTCTTCTTC